ACCAACAGAAGATAATTAGCGCTCGCACCCGCCTTAACGTAACAACGTGTCTGTATCTCAGACCCAGCATCAGCGCGAGAAGTCTGTCCACACTTATTGCAGTTGATGTCAAGAGCGAGACTGCACAAAGTATTAGAGAGCAGACGGACCATATTGTTAAAATAACATCTAGAATGGTGATGCTGGAGTTTCTTATTCCTTCGTTGATAAGTTTCACTGTAAACAGCGGTTGTGAAAGGAGTCCAACACAAAGATCGGTGACCGCCAAACATCGAAACAAAAGTTTCGTTGGAGGATGAATCGAAGTCACTTTGTGAAGAGCAATAAGGATTAGCACATTGCCCAGTGTCGTGGTGATGGCGAAGAAAATGTTGAAGGATAGAAACGCCGCATTGGTCCCCACAAGTGACTCCGGATAACTGACTTCAAATGAGGAGTTTGCATCATCATCAGTGGTGTTCAGCATTTCTCTAACAGCAACAGAGAGCTTGCTATCAGTGAGGGAGACGTTGATTACAGTCAAGGTTCCTGCTCCACTCCTTTTGATCACTTTGTCTTATCGCCTGGGTGAGAACAGTTCTGAGGAGGACAGTTGTCGGTATAGTAGTGAGGAAAGCGAAGTGTCTTTATCAGTCGCTATCTGTAAGACTTGTTTCTGTACACTGATTGGTCAGTTTTGCTTTGATGTTACTGGCTGTGAGATTAAGAAATGATTGGTCGTGTGGATCGGTTCCTTTGTGGCGTAAAGATCTCGTGCGCGAGTACGTCGATTTTATGGTGCAGTTTGGCGTCCTTCTGAGATGCGCACGCTGACAAATGACGATAAAAATTGTCTTGAACTCCCCAACAGCTTTGACTAGTTAAGTTTCGGCCTGGTCAGATGATGATGCAAATATTCTTTAACTGATATGGGTAGTCATATTTCTTATATCTGTAATCATTATTTAGCAAGAAATAACTGATTTTAAAGTTTAGCAGGTGGTGTTTTAGAACTCTGCAGTGACAGCAAATATTTCTTTAAAGGAGCAGTCTTATGAAACCTCCCTGTAATTTGGAAACCCGAAAAATCCAAATGCTTTTATAGTCTGAAATTTCAGCCGTCTCTTCCCTTTACCCCAAATTCATTATTGTAGAGGCTTTATTAATCGCTAAAAATTAATATCATAATGAAATAGCTGAATTTTTCGGGTTTTCAAATTATAGGGAAGTTTCATAAGAGTACTCCTTTAACCATAACTATGCTTTAACACAACATCAAAATTAAAACTAAGAGAACGTTGTCGTCCCCATGATGCAGAGATCCTTTATTACGGTGACTCAGTAGACTGAATAGAAAACTTGTACTGAAGTCCAGCTCTTTATTCTACAGAGTTTTGCATTGTTTTGTAGTAGATAGGTTCAGTTCGGCACATAAAAACAGTTTAACTACCTAACTGTATCCTTTACTACTCGTTTCATTTTCCTTCTTTTCCAGCAGTAAAGATGAGTTTAAGAAAATTAACGTCGTTAAAACTTTCTTAAGCACCAACTGGAAGAAAAATATCAAAGATTTTTCTTAGATGTTCCAGTATAATGGAAAGATAGCAGACAAATAGTCCGAGCTGCACCCATCCAACGATGAAAACTGTGTTCTTGTAACGTGCTATGTTTAATTCAGTCGGCACAAAGCTGCTAAGTGCAGAATGTTCTGGGAAAATATTGCCTCGAACAAGCTGCCTTTAGTGGCGGAGACGAACATAGATCTTGGCGAAAGAAAAGACTGAAAGGAATAAAAAAACTATGGAGGATAAACGGCTGAAATGATACGGCTAACAATTGCCGCAAAGTAAGTAGCAGATAGAAAGGCCAATTAATTAATGCAAAAGGTGTTAACCAGAGGCAAATTAATTATGAACGCTCACTTCTATCTTAGTGTAACAACATAAAAGATAATCTTGAATTTTCCTACAGCTTTGAATTTTTGGTTTTGGCCTGATTAAATGATGATTCAAGTTTTCTTTCATGTGATTTGTTAGTAGTCATATTTCCTCTTACCGAGATTAATAGATGGTGCATCAGTCATTTTAAAAGATCCTGTTTCTACCAGCTGAGGGGTGGATCATTAGCAATTTGGCTTCCAAATATAGTAAAAACATCGATGACAATTGACAGTTTCTTACATCTCGTAAATTTCGTAAATTGTTCGTTCTCTAATTGTTTACAATTGGAAGTTACCCTCACCTGGTGTGAAGGTATTTTATTTTATATACCGTAAAGTCAAGACAGTATTAATTTAAGATCAACAAAGTAAATTAAACACGTCCAAAGAACTAACTATCGTTTCCACCATCAGTTTGAAATTTTCAGCATAGCCTTTCTTTAAGAGAGATGTTATTATATGATACAGGTTAGATCTGCACCGATATTTCCGATGATTTCACGTTCAAGCTGTGTGCAGTTTCTTACTGATCAGAAAAAAAGATCGGTGGTGCTTTTAATGGCCACCAATAATGGGCGGGCGTTTCTTTTTTCGTAGAAACATGTACATGAGGCAGTTGTTGGTGGAGACGGAAATAGATCTTGGCGTAAAAGATGGTTGAGATGATAAGAGAAATAAACATCAAAACTATATATCCAAAAGAAGAAAAATCACCAAAACACCCAACTTAAGTACCAGCTAGACCCCAAAAGGAGGGAGTTAGCGCTCGCACCCGCCT